AAGAACTAACACCGCAACAGGAATAGACTCAAACAGAAAATAGACTCAAACGTATTAAAGGGTTGCTTCGCTTGGCGGAAAGTGGCGAACTGCCGATTTTGGTTTTCTCCGATGAGAAAACAATCGTTGTCTAGAAGTTTGTAAACAAACAAACTGATTGTGTTTACTTGCCAAAGAGGTCAGCTGAAAATGTGCACCTTCGGTTGGCCACCAGCACAATGGTTACAAAATGAGGTTCCTCGCTTCATTTCCTGCGCACAATGGCCACCAAAATCTCCGGATACCAATTCGTTGGACTATTGTGTCTGGAGTATTTTGGAAAGCAAGGTTGGCACTACGCGGAGCAACATTCGGGCAGCGTGTGACGGTTTCATTGGCCGTTTGAAGGCCATAATTCGTGCCAAAGGTGATCAATTCGAACAAATCTAAACTTATTCTAAAATTTAAGAAACGTATAGCGTTTGACTTTGTTGCATTTTTTTATCTTATACTGTATGGCTTTTTTGATAGCAGTCATGGAAAAATTTTTTTTAGTAAAAACTCTCTAATTTTTTTAAATTTTTTATGGTTATATGGTTATATTGAAAGCTAATGAAAATACTTATCGAACAAGTGATCTCATGACCTGTATCGAAATTATGATTTTTTGAACCCGATTTTGTAAAAAATCTCCATATTGGGAGCCAAATTATTGTTTACACTATAAGCTTTTCAAAATACTGCAATATGCGTTTTTACCATTCTTGGATCCACAGATATTGGTTTTTGATCCCGGGCGAGCCGACCGATGGTGATTCGAATTTCCGCACCGATAAAGAAACAAAGAAAAACAAGATACAGTTTGCAAGTGCTTGTTTGCCATCTCCATGTTAAAATAAGGGGTCAGTAGGCGGTAATTTGTCCTCAAAAACCATTATCTGGTACAAAGATTTTATTCTGAGAGTTCAATAATAAAGTTATTGATTTTAAAGTTGTGCGCTGAAAATTTAATACCTGATAGTGTCATTAAATATTTGACGAAATTCCCATATATTTTGAGATATTTAATCTCAGTGTAGACATAAAACTCTTTTAGATGTTTGTCACAAAGTCAACACAATTTTCATATATCTCTGGCAAGGCATGCCCATTTCATATCTAATCGTGGATTATTTTAAATAGAAGTGTAACTAGTGTTTGAACCCATTTAACAGGAAACTATTTCTAAATGGGGGTTTCGATGATTCATTAATGCACCAACACGTTGTTAATTAAATGTGTGTATTAGGCCATCATGAGGTGTGGCACAAAATAACGAACCGAGTTTGGGGAAGTAAAGACAATCATTTTATACTCGAAACCGTCCTGTGGTAACGGTTATTATGTATTTGAACTGTTCATTTGATTGCGACACGCAAGAAAGAAAACTTCGAAAAACTTGACAAGCAAAAAAAGAGACAATTATATATATCTGCTCAAAATAGACATTGGAATATTTGGCAGAGAGTTTAAGATTACCGTTACAATCACATTGTCAAAAGCACTCATCGATTTCACGTGTGCCAAAAAAGTTATTCGGAGTCAAGTCAACATTTTATTAGAAGTTTTTTTCCGCAAAAGGTAAGTTTTTTTTAAGTGGTTTAAAATAACTCATTTGACACACATGGAATCAATGAAGGAGGATTTGTAACGGTATAAAATTCAATGTCGATCTAACGATGACCGACCGTCCGTCTTTCCGTCCGTCTGTGGAAATCACTCTAGCTTCCGAAGGAATTGAAGTAGGTTGATAACATTTTACTCAAATGTGTGTTTGGTCTACAGGAATTTTGGTATTAAAAATGGGTTATATAGGTCCACGTTTAGTCATAGCCTCCATACAACTGTACTTCCCTATATTCAGTATTTTGAAGATTTTAGCGACATTGTACACTCGAATCGTTTCAAGCTTCGTAATGATAGTTCGGGTACTACAGTCTGTGACAGAAAATTGTCTATGCAAGTCCAGGTCTTCGTATAGCCCCCATGTAACGGTACCTCCATATATCCGGTATTTTGATGATTTTAATGACACTACCCACCGGAATTATTTCAAATTTCGTATATGAAGTTCCTAAAGACTACTTCTGTCTATGACAGAAAATTGTCTCTACAAGTCCAGGTCTTCGTATAGCCCCCATATAGCGGTACCTCCCCATATTCGGTATTTTTATGATTTTAGCGATATTATTCACTGGAATTATTTCAAATTTCGTATTTGAAGTTCCTAATGGGTACTTCAATCTGTGACAGAAAATTGTTTTGCAGGTCCAGGTCTCCGAATAGCCCCCATATATGGGTGCTTCCCTATATTCGGTATTTGAATGTTGAATGGTATTTAAAGTTCGGCCCAGCCAAACTTAATGCTTTTTTACTTGTTTTATTATTGTTTGCCCTCATGTTTGACGAGGATAAAAATGTAGGAGTTTAGTGGAATACGAGAGAAAAGCTGATGTTGTAATATGAAAATGCAAAGAAAAAACAAAAAAAAAAAAAACTTGTTAACTTATATAACATATCTAATGCGGGTTTCGACCTTGGCCTCCTTTCAAATTCGACCATGAATAATTAATTTCCTACATCGTTAAATTGTTCTTGAGTGGAATCGAATTAGGAAGAGTACTTACCATGCACGCTCAAATTATGGTAAAATATTGCTCTTCTGATCGATTTCGTATAAATCACTTTGTACTTCTTCACAACCAATACGTCTTTGGCAATTGTGGCAAAAACCTTTAAAAAACCGAAAATCGGGAGGTATCTTTATATGGGGGGCTAAACCAATTAGTGGAAATAGAGCATATTGTTCTTTTGTCGAGTTCTCTTAATTTTTTGTTATACCGTTGTTGTGTTTGTATGTATATATATTTTCTCCACTTACAGTTTTTCCTTTATTTATACGATCACACCCTCCATCTCAGTTACACACACGCAAGCACAAATCAGCAAACAAAATTATTTTTCTCACTCGTTTTCACTCTTGGAGAAAACTCTTGCTTTGTTGTGAGCGTTTCGGATTCCATTCCGAAAAGAGTGGAAAGTAAACTCCGTAAAAAGCTCCCACTCTTCAATTAATCGGAAGTGCTCCCACATAAAACAAAAGAGTAAAGAGTAAACTCCGTAAAAAAACTCCCACTGTTCCATCAAGCAAGTTTCGCTCCTGAGTGAAAACGATTTTATAGCTTACTGGTAATGTTGAGCAGGAGAGATACCGGTATTGGGTGGGTATCCTTACGAGTACATTGCAAACAATTCTGTTTTAAATATCTGACTGAAAAACATCAGTAGATACTGTTACAGGGTGAGATAAAAAACTGCAACAAACTTTAGACTGCTGTCATTTCAAAGCCACTCGTCCGACAGCTGTTAAAATTATTCCAGTGACAGCTCATTATATTGTTAACAAGTGTACAAAAGCATTTTGGTGAGAATTTTCCAGAAAAAAGTTATTCGTATTGGAATTCAAGCGTGATAGTGTGATTTCTTTATATTTGGCCGGAAAACCACAAGTGGCTATCGTTAGAGCACTCCAGCATTTAAATGTGAATAAATCTTTTGTGTCTGTAGCATGGCTCGTTACCGTGATACTGGTAGCGTAGCCGGACGTAAAAGAAGTGGACGTAATCAACATAAATCGTTCGAAAAGTAAAGAAGCGACTTGATCGAAACCTACGTTGCAGTGGCCAAAAATGGCTCTTGAGGTGAAAATATCACAACTTTTCATTCGGCAAATATTGAAAAATGAGCTCGGGTTAATGTCATTGAAATTCCAAAAATTGCAAGAACTTACACCGCAACAGAAAAAAATAGACTCAAAAGAGCTTAAGAGTTGCTTCGCTTGGCCGAAAGTGGTGAGCTACCGAATTTGATTTTCTCCGATGAGAAAACATTCGTTGTCCAACAGTTTGTAAACAAACAAAATTATCGTGTTTACTTGCCAAGAGGTCAGCTGAAAATGTGCACCTTTGGTTGGCAACCAAAACTCAAGCGCCGGCCATGGTGATGGTGTGGGCCGCCATAACAGCCGATGATCGGTCTCCGCTCGTATTAATCGAACGTGGCATCAGAATAAATGCCGAATATTATCGCGAACATATTCAGGAGGGTGTATTAAAACCTTGGGTACGCAAACATTTTGCTGCAGACCTTGGACATTCCAACAGGACTCAGCACCATCGCACACAGCACGCGCCAAGAATGGTTACAAAATGAGGCTCCTCGCTTCATTTCCAGCGCACAATGGCCACCAAGATCTCCGGATACCAATCCGTTGGACTATTGTGTCTGGAGTATTTTGAAAAGCAAAGTTGGCACTAGAAAATACCAAAGTGTCGATCACCTCAAGCAAACGCTTCGCCGGGAATGGGCCAAAATACCGCAGAGCAACATTCGAGCCGCGTGTGACGGTTTCATCGGCCGTTTGAAGGCCATAATTCATGCCAAAAAAGAAATGAAATTATGGCGTTTGACTTTCTTGCAGTTTTTTTTATTTCACCCTGTATATGGTATCGTGGAAGGAAGGAAGTAAGGATTTGACCTGCCTCCAAAAGGCTGCTTACTGTAAAATCTTAGTTTTCTATCACAAGTCGTCTTGACTCTAACGTAAATAAAACAGATGGACAGACGAACGGAATCAAGAATATACAGTTGTTAGTAGGGTCTAAAATGACTATTTGGATGACTTACAAACGGCAAACTTACCCTCCATAGCTTGGTGGAGAGTATCAAAAGAAAAAAATTAGTTTCATATTTTTAGTTACGACCTATTGTACATGAACCCCATAACATTAATGTGTGTTTACTTAATACGTTTGTGTTGAGTGTACTCAAAATATTTTCTCCAGAGCATTTCGACACACATTCAGTTGTACCAAGTCGTGGCGAGAGACAAATACACACGTTTTATTCGCTCTTGAATTTTGTTTTTATTAAATATTTTAGTTGTTGACGCGTTTTTAATTAATTGCTTAATTACATTTTAGAACCATCCTCAAGGTTACGCTCCGGTGCCACAACAAATGCCTTACGGAGAAGCTCCGCCATTCGGTAGCGGTGGCCAACCAGCCTATGGGGGGCCACCACCGCCTGGATTTGCACCGCCACCTCAGTATAATGGCGGTTTTCAGCCGGGCTATGGTCCACCTCAGGTTCCAATCGTACAACAACCAGGTCAGCCAATGATGCCCGGCCAACCGATGATGCCAGGACAACCAATGGCACCCGGTCAACCCATGCAGCCTGGTCCACCTGGTAAGTAACGTTACAAAATGTCAACGCGCGTTTAATAAGCACAAGAAATTAATTTTATTTTTGAACAAATAAAAGCACATATGAGTCATTTTATGTCTTTGAGGCCGGGTAAACCCCAAATGGGAGCAGAAATTTTCGCACAAGTGATGCAAATCTTATTAATTACTTTTATATCAGACTATAAATAATCGGAACTATTTATTTTTAAACAAAGAAAATTTGACTGAAATTGCGAAAAAGGTTATTCCCGAAAACTGTGATCCCTCTTTTAAGTTGAATGTCTCACACGCAAGTACATTATTTGGGGCGTTTATATGTTCAAACATATAAAAACACAACAATTTGCATGTTTTTTTTTACTGATAAGATAGATGACGTTTGCCGAACCGAATGCTGTTGCTTCGCAATCAATGTCAATACATTTGTTAATTATCAAAACTTCAATAGCTGAGTTTAAAGTTTATCTAATATATTCGGATATTTTTAATGACAATTTGCTTTTTATTTCTCAAGAGATTTTGTAAACATTTGTGCGCTCCCATTCACAGAAAAAAATGTGAGCAATGAAGTTAACCCATTATGAGCATCTGGAATTAATTTTCTCCGTAACATAAGGAATATAACAACAACATGAGGACTATTGCAACAAAGCCAAACGCCATAATTTTTACATACTTTTTTAAATTTTATTGAATGAAAGCAAAAAATGTCGGAAATAGCATCAAATTTTAAAATAAGTTTAGATTTGTTCGAAGTAGTCAACTTTGGCACGAATTATGGTCTTCAAACAGCCAATGTTGCCCTAGGGTATTTTCGCCCATTCCCGGCGAAGCGCTTGCTTGAGGTGGCCGACACTTTGGTATTTTTTAGTGCCAACCTTTCTTTCCAAAATACTCCAGACACAATAGTACAACGGATTGGTATCCAGAGATTTTGGTACCTCATTTTGTAACCATGCGTGCGATGGTGCTGAGTCCTGTTGGAATGTCCAAGGTCTGCGGCCAAAATGTTTGCGTCCCCAAGGCTTTAATACACCCTCCAGAATATTTTAACAATAATATTCATTTATTTTGAAGCCACGGTCGATTAATACGAGAGGAGAGCGACCATCGGCTGTCACACCATCACCGTGGCCGGCGCTAGACTTCTGGCGGTCAACCGAAGGTGCACATATTCAGCTGACCTCTTTGGCAGTAAACACGATCATTTTTTTCTTTACAAACCGCTGGACACCGAATGTTTTCTTATCGGAGAAAACCAAATACGCAGCTCACCACTTTCGGCCAATGCCAAGCAACTCTTTAGCTCTTTTGAGTCTATTTTCTTTCTGTTGCGGTGTAAGTTCTTGCACTTTTTGGAATTTCAATGGCTTTATCCCGAGCTTATTTTTCAATATTTGCGAATGGAATATTGCGATATGTTCAGCTCACGACGCGGGTTTCTTTACTTTTCGAACCATTTCTGCTGATGTTGCTGTTTTCTTCCGTTCACTTCCTTGACGTCGTGCTACACTACCAGTATCACGGAAACGAGCGATGGCACGAGACACAAAAGATTTATTCACATTTAAATGCTGGAGTGCTGTGACGATAGCCACTTGTGGTTTTCCAGCCAAATATAAATAAATCACACTATCACGCTTGAATTCCATCACGAATAACTTTTTTTATGGAAAATTCTCACCAAAATGCTTTTGTACTCTTGCAAACAATATAATGAGCTGTCACTGGAATAATTTTAACAGCTGTCTGAAGTTGGTTGCAGTTTTTTCATCTCACCCTGTATAGACCTGTGCTTAGAGGTCTAATGTATGATTTTTGGATACATATCATACTGCCGAGTGCTGCAACCAATTTTGTGAATACGAAAAGATTTGAAGCCAAAATTGAATGCGCTCGAAATTTTTTTTCCATGAAATTTAATAATTTACCATATACACCTAAACACTTGCTCTCTGTTATATTCTCTCCGATAAATGGTAAAAATAAATAATTAGGAAGACATAGAAGATTATCGTGGATTTTTTACTCTAGAAGCTTTAGTTAACTTTTGGAACTAATTTATGTTTAATATGCCAACATTTTTTATATCTGCCCATTTGGGTACGTATGTACTATTGAAAATATCTGTTTTGTTGGGCAGACAGTTGGTTAAAGGTTTTTGTATAGAATTGCGTGAACATTTGAAAAGTAGAAGTAAGCAAAAAAATGTATAATAGTACTGTCCATCCTGGATACCTTTCCAAGGTTTGGAATGAAATTGGAAGGAAGAAGAGAAGAATTTTGCTAGAAGATTATTAGGATAATAAAATTAAAGGATGAAGCTAGAATTTAGAAATTTTTTATAGTGGTCCCTATTGGCGGTAGATTTGTGATACAGTAGCGGCTTTGAAAATGTGTACTACAAGTGCTACGAAAGGTACTAAATAGTACTATATTTGCTAAAATTTGGTATTGGGTAAACAGAAAGTGCTTCAATTCTAAATTTTTGTATTAGGGCGGCTGTTTATGCATATGGAGGTGGTTTCGGGAATGTGTATTGCAGAAGGGTCGCTGTTTATCTGCAGCCTTGCCATATGGAGATGGTTTACGAGGCGTGTATTATAATGATTTGATATGAAATTTGATATTTAGATTTCTAATGGTATCCGTGTTTGAGATTTGACGATGGTTTGGAAATGCGTCCTATTTTTGTATAAATGTACTAAATTGGGTATTGGATAGAAACTGGAATCCCGAAATTTGATATTGAGGTCTTTCTTGGTATATGGTTTTGAGATATATAGATGGTTTTGCAAATGTGTAATTATACGAAAAGTATTGGCTGTCTGTGGTTGAGAGAGGGCGCTTGTTTTCGAAATATGTACAATAATTGTTCGAAAACTACCAAAGGATCTTCTAGGATGAAGAGAAAAAGATTTTTGTTAATAAGCAGACTAGCTGGTACTAAATTTGGTCTTGGGTGAAGGGATAGAACTTAAATTCGGAAATTTGATATTGAGGTCAGTGTTTTCTAGGGTTGACATATGGAGACGTTGAAATTGTTTTGGACAGCAAAATTGGATGTTCAATGGTTTTGCAAATATCCTCCTCGGTAAACTTCAAAATGAAAGATTGTAAAGACTTTTTGGTTTTAAAGGTAAACATTTTTCCGTTCCGAAATGAAAAAAAAATAAAAAAAAAATATTATTGTAACGATATACCTTTCTTATTACCCCTACAGTCGATTCATTCTCATAGATAGAAATGAACTGAACGTTTTCAAATATGAAATGTTATAACAGACATCTTTATATATATATTCCATTATATATGGGCAATCTCTTGGTTACACAGATCATTAAACTTCTTGCTGGCACAAATAAGAAAACAACCATTAACCTTCCTGGTATGAAGGAAAATTGTTGCACCGAGCTTGATTGATAACTTTGTTTATACGCAAAATGATGTACCAGCTTTTTTATTCGAAGTGAGCTTATCTCCATTCATTGTCTCGGGGTGTAAGAGCATTGGCGATGGAATTTTTCGCATAATGAATGCAGGTCAATATACTGTAAAATAGGATAATGCTGTTCGTAGACTTTCATTAAATTAAATATCATGCCAATTACATTTGACATACCCACAATAATTTCGAACATCAAAAGGTTCAATACCAGTCCACGCTTTGACATAATTCTCGTACACAGATTTAGGTCAAGGTAGGGTTCTAGCGTCTTAGTTTGTCGAACACATCTTCACTAATATGTATCTATGGGTTTTGGAATAACTTGATTGGTCCCAAGGTGACAGATAAGGTGGAGTTTTTTGAAAATCGTAGAACGGTGCGAAAAGTACTAAAATGTACTAAATATGGCATCCTTTATATTTGACGAACCAGTAGAGCTAGATCTATTAAATTTAGAATGAGGGTCACTGATAAAGTGTATGATGAATATACCAAATAGTTTTTGAAATTCGCACCATAAGTGTACGAAAAGTAGTAGTAAATGTACAATATTTAGTACAATTTCATATCATATGAACGGTTAGAGCTTGAAATTTGGAATGGGAATAAAGATTGAGAATTAGTGTCGATGTAAGGAGGTAGTTTTGGAAGTGTGTACTTATGTATACGAATAATACCAAACGGTACTAAATTTGGTACAATTTGAATTTGGAGGAACGGATGGAGCGGGAATACTGAAATTTGAAAGTAACATTACTGGCAGAGAGTAGGATATGGAGGTAGTTTTTAAAATGTGTACTATTGTTTTGAAAATTCGTACTTTTGTGGGCTAAATGGTACCAAATATAGTACAATTTAAGTTTTAGGAGAATTGATAGAGTTGGAAAAAATATTACTATTGCATTGTAAGATTGGGGTATGTAGGCAGTTTTGGTACAATGGAATTATGGTACTAAATTTGGTACAATTTGGGTTTGGGTGAACCGCTAGGGCTGGAATGCTGAAATTTGGTATTGGGCTTGCTGTTGGTGTGTAGGCTTTGGAAATTCGTATTTATGTGTACAAAATGGTACTAAATTCGGTAAAATTTGGATTTGGGCGATCCGATAGGGTTGGAATCCTGAAATTGGGAACCAAGATTTCTATTGGATTGCATGTTGCAGGTTGTTATGGAAATTTGTACTTAGGTGTACTAAATGTTGCTGGTCGTTTTTGTTATTCAAAACTTTAACCATTTGTGGGGGAGGTACCAGAAGGAATTGTCCGGTCTCTACCATCTTTATAACAGATCTTGTGTGGATAGAAATATTGAGATGTACCAAGACTGAATGGAATCGGATGTTAATTTCGTGTTTTATGAGCTTCCTTGATATTCAAAATGTTGATCCTTTGTGGGGGAGTTACCAGAAGGATTGAACCGATATATTCCATTTTCACACCAGATCTTGGGTAAAAAAAATATATATTTTGATGTGTGCAATTTAAAGAAAATCGGACTCTTATATCACATTTTATAAGAGTTATAATTATTAAAAATGTTGACACTTGTATTT